TGGAGGGCCCGGGGGCGGTGCCTCTCTCCGAGGGCGCCGCCCTCGCCCCGCGCTCGCCTCGCCCGGGTGCAGCGGGCCGGGTGGAGGGGGCGGGGACTCGGGAGGGGCCGGAGCGCGGCTGCTGGCGCCGCTGCGGGAGCAGAGGGAGGAGGCGGCGCGTCCCCTGAGGCGTGCGCCGGGACGGACGGACCAACGGACGGACGGACGCGCAGAGGGAGCGGGTCGGCGGCGAGGTCGGTGTCCGGTGGGCGCGCGGGCGGCGCGGGGAGGGGCGGCAGCGAGGGGCGGCAGCGAGTGGAGCCGGAGTCCGGAGCAGGGCGGCGAGAGGCGCGGCGGTGGGCCCGGCGCCGGCTCCGCTCCGGGGTCGGCCCGAGACCTTGTCTCCTGGCCTATCCGGCGTGCGGCGAGCGCGCCCAGGCGACGAAAGCGGAGCCCCGGGCTCCCTTCTTTCTCCTCTTTTCTTTCCAATCAGCGAAAAATAAACACCCGGGAAGGTAAAACAATAGCGGGGCCACCTGGGACGCGGCGCGCGCCGCTCTCCCACGTTTGGGGCGGGGGCCGGGGGTGGACCCGGGAGTGGCGGCCCCACCTCGGAGCCCCTTCCCGATTTGCCCCCGCGGAGGGTGGGGCTGCCCGCAGCGCCGGGGCTCGGAGGCGGAGAGAATTCCCAGGAGTAAAGCATTTGGTGAAAGTCTTTCAGGAGCAGTCGGGCTTCCTGCCGTTGCCCTGCTCTGGGCGGGGAAACTGAGGTAGAGGCAGAGGTAGCCACTTGGCCAAGGTCAGACCACAGAGGCTGACCGTCCTGGTCCAGGACCGGGACCCAGGTGTCCGGACCAGCTCAGCGCTCAGCCCCTCTTGGTTTCGCCGCGGCCGTGTTTGCCTTTGATAAATCTCTGTTGTGTTTGTTTTAGAAATCCGCTGGCATTGTGGGACCGCTTCAGGGCTGCCCAGCGAACGCAGACTTGCTTCGTGTGTTGCGGACAGGTCTGGGGCAGGTGACAGCCCCGTGTCCCACCATCATGGACCCAGACGGACTTTTTGATGAAGAGACCCCCAGCAGTCGACGCCAGCCTGGGCGATTTGGCTGTCAAAGGTTTTGACAAAACCTGCCCTGTTCCGTTTGGGGGACTCCGAATGAGGGAGATTACAGACACCTTCACTGAGAAGCCAAGGACATTTCTGTATAATCAGTGGATGAAAGGATTTTCTCAGACGCTTTTTTCCTTTTCCTGGAGAATTAATCCACCGCAATCTACAATTCCAGTGGAGACCGCCAGACTGAGGATGTGGCAGGAGCCTAGAGAGCCTTCCGAATTGTTCTGGACCCTTCCTTTATCATAGGGGAGTGTAAGACTTGCCCCCGCCGCCCCTCCCCCACCCCCTCCTGCTGAGCTGGGCTCTTTAACTGGTGCTCCGTTACTGAATTAACTTCTGTTTCCAAAACTGCTCTCTGGAGCTATCAGTGAATTGCCAGAAATGAGCGATTAAGTGCTGGGAGAAGAGGAAGCGGCCTGTGTTGTGTCTCCTCTCGGCTGCCGACATGAAGTGCTTTTTCCCGGTGCTGAGCTGTCTGGCTGTGCTGGGTAAGTGGCGCTGCTTATCAGTGCGATCGATGTGAAAGTTTAACCTGCTGTTGGCTCCTGTAATTCCTTGTGGCTCTTTCCAGCAACACTCGGCTTTAGGGGACGCTGGGAGGCGGCAGTGTGTGTCATGGGTTGGCATAGTGTACCCAGAGCCCCGTTTCTGACCCAGGAGGGACGGTGGCGTACTGTTTGTTGTCTTTAAGAAGGGACATGCTGTCCTTAGTGTTTGTACGGGGCCTCGGGGTCAGGCTCCCTGTCTACAGCAGCTTAGGGACTACGTGTGGATCTTGGGCTGGTTTCTGGTATTTTATAAACATGGTGCTTCAGTGTCTTCACTTCTTTCTTGGTCCACGTTAATTTCTAATCCAAAGTGATGACATTATTCCCACCCTGTCGGAAAGTTGGTTTGGTGATAAAGACGGTGCTATTTTTTTTTTTTGAGGGGGAAGTGGGCGCAGGTGGGAGAGGGGTTGGGGGGGATGCTTTGCCCAACCCAAGCGATCTGTAGACTGTAAATGTTTGAGGGTCTAGTCATGTGTCCTCTTGCCCAGGAGGCTCAGATCATAGTTCTGGAAGGAAGAGAGACTGGAGGAATTGAGGGTTGTGCTAGGTGGGGTTTGTGTGCCCCCTCAGAAGGTCACAATGCTTAGAGTTGGATGGAGAAACTGTGGCCTGCGAGGTGGCTATTGACACCTCTCTTAAGGATTCCCTCCCATTGAAGAGGCACCCGTTTGCCCAACACTTGTTCATTCTCAGATTCAACAATACTTCCCATGCCACTGAGTGCCGTCTTCAATGTGGTACCTTGGGACTCCTCTTGGGTCTAGGATAAGCTCCCCAGCCAGGATCTGATGCATCCTCTCTCGCCTTCGCCTTAGACCTCACACAGGAGCACACCCCCTGCCCCCTTGGTAGCGCTCGGGCCCCTGCATTCAGAAGAGGTCGTCACTCCTGCCTGCGGTGTTTGCATATATTTCCAGATCTAGGTGTCTAGCATTTATGGAATTTATTTGTGACCTGCTGGCAGTGGAGATTGCTTTCACACATTGTCTTTGCCCTTGCAAGAGTTTACAAATGGGTGGAAAGAGAGTGGGCTTTGGAGTTGAAGAGCCTGAGTTTGAATCTCAGCCTCCCCACGATTGACACCTGAACCTCAGTAAAATGCGATGATAGCTCTACAGGCTTACTTTGCAGTTCAAGGCTATTAGGTGTTCTAAAGGTCCTGACGACTTTGGAAAGTGCCTGGAACACAGGATAAATGTGTTCTATCAGTCGTTCTCAAACTTGGGTGCATGTTGGAATCACTGGGAGAGCATTAAAAAACCCCAGTGCTCAGGCAGCAACCCTAGGCTAATTAAACCAGAATCTTCCGGAAGATGAGCCAGGCAACAGTCTCTTATCTCTGCTAGGTAACTCCATTGTGTAGTGAGTTAGAGAGAATGTGTGAGTTCATCGCTGCCAGCCCTCCCCTCCTCACCACTCACACGGACATCCAGTCTGGCGGCAAGTTCAGTCAGTCTTCTGCCCAGGTGTGGGTTAGGATTCTGCGTCTCCCTGTCTCCTGTGTGCTCAGGCAGAGCCAGAAAGGCAGGTAGCTCTCTGTTTGCCAGTCCTAGATATTGTATTGGTATTTGTCATTCACTTAGTGTCTGGGTTTAAATCAGTAATTAGTGATTCATGTGGATTCAAAAGGGCAAACAAGGAAAGCCCTCCAGGAGGCTTGGGTGTGGGCTGGGTGGTGTGGCTAAGGCGGGAAAGAGGACTGAGCTGAGTCGTAGAGTGGGGCCCAGGGCAGGAGAAGGAACCACCAATGGGAAAACAAGGAAATGTGACATTTGTGCCTTTTGTTTCTTCTGGCTGCTCCAGAAATGTGAGGCTGCCCACTGGTACCCCTGCTGTCTACCCTCTGGGCCCCCCTATGGAGTGGAGCTTGGGCCCTCTCCCTGGGCTCTGTTATCTTGCCTTTGCTCCCAGCCTCAATTATAAACAGGTGCCATGGAGGAAAGTGAGTGTCACGGTGGCACTGAAGGGGAACAGTGGCCAAAGACCCAATGTGGGTGAGAGTGGGAAGGTTTAGAACTGGGGACATGCCTGGTGCTTCGAGCCCCACTGGTGAACTGTCATCTTTTCTCATCACTTGATGACTCCCAGCATGGCGGGGAGGGGGGCTTGGTACCACTTGCTTAAACTTGGAGACCAGAAGGTCTTCAGGGAGGGAACCAAACCCATGTTGGGGTCTTGCTCTCTGCTGGCAGTCTGGTGTGGTCTGATTCATGCAGCAGCATTCTTGCTGTGTAATGAAAAGGAATGTGTAATAGGAATTTAAAACAGCAAAGACTCCCAAGGTTTTGTGCCTCTGTGGGTCACACACTCGGAATAAAATTTGGTTTGTCAAAAGTAGGATCAGGCTAAGCGCTCTGTAAGGCAAGACTGATACTGGTGCTCCCAGCTTCCGAAAATGGGAATTGGAGTTAGAAAACCCTGTGACTGAAGGTGAGGGGTATACAGGGTAAATCTCCAAGAGGCTGTGACTCCCTTAACATGACATCATTAGCCCTGGACTTTCTGTCCCCTTCCTTTGCCAACATCTAGAATTTGGGTCATGTTCCTCCTTTTCTGCCTGTCTGGGTACCAATTCCTGCCCTCTTGACCCTCTGTGTCTTGTTTCTTCTTGTTGCAGCTCTGGGTGCCCCACCCATCTAGGGATCCATCGGCTGCCAAGGCCACCCTCTTTCCAGTTCTAAAAAGCCATCCTAGGTGTGGGCCAGGTTGAGCCATGAGGGTAGTAAAGTCCCCACTGTGGAGAGCGGGCTGAGGCAGAGGGGCAGTAGTTGAGAGGGAGTAGCGGCTGGTGTGGATGTGGCCTGAGTATGAAAGGGGGGAGATGAGGAGAGGGTGCCTGTGCCTGGGAGCAGCCTGGGTGAGTGCCGGAGACATGGAAAGATGACAACCATGTGGGAGAGACAGAATAGGATTTGTGTCTGCAAGAACAGGAAGGGAATAATCAGGAAAGATTAATATAAGCTTTAGGCGCATAAAGCAAATTTTGATTTTGTACAGCTGGGAAGAGTTATACCTCCTAGACCAACATAGACTGATGTTGCCAACAAGATGAAATAGCTTCAGAAGTGTTAGCAATGAAAAAGGTAGGAGATTGGGACATCCCTGGATCAACACAGAGAACTGGTACACAGCTCATGGTCATTTGTGTTCTTCTCCCGTGGGAGAGAATTTCATTTCTGGAGTTTGAAAAGCCTCTTGTTTGAATAGGATGGTACTGAGGAAGCAATCACTTACCTCCCGGGAGTTTGGGAAGGCTTCTTAGGGGAGAGGCCAGAGGGTGCTTCCAAAAGAGATCGAAAGGAACTTTGATGTTCTAGTGGGAGTGAGCTCAGAGGCAGGGCTGGGGTGATCAAAGGCAGAGGAGAAGGAGGAGGCAAAGGAGAGAAGCGAAGTGGCTGGGGGCACCTGGAGGAAGGGTTCTGATGGGAAAGTTTGAGGATCGTGATTTTTGGATGAACGGACACCACTGTCCTAACAGTTGCACCAGAGGCAGGGCCCTTTCCTTTCCTGGGGACCATTTGACAAGGGTGCTGGAGAAGGGTGTTCTTGTCAGGACTAGGCTAGCTAAGATGCCTTTCAACTGTGTGAATCATTGAGCCACCTGTGGGCACCCAAGGCTGCGTTAAGGTGTCCCAATCCCCTAACTTTTTCATTGCAGCAAGAGAAGAACAGTAGTGCTACCACCTTTTATAACTCTAGCCTTTACTGTGAAGCAAGTCCTATCTCATTAGGTCCTCAAACAACCTTGCCAGGTGGATACCTTATATTTGCATCTTTTTGTAGATGGGGATGTTGAGGTCCAGGGAAGTTAAGCAACTTGCCTGAGGCAGATAACTGTACCAGCTTGAAATGATGCTCCACAGGGGTAGGAACCCAGGCTCCTTCTATCTTGTTCCCTGTGCATGCCTCCATTCCCAAGGTCATCTCATGGTCCAGCATGGCTGTGCTTGCCTCAACCATAGGAAGGAGGAACGGGTTGGTGAAGGGCACACCTTCTTAAGGACACTGCCTGCAATTGCACACATCCCTTCTGCTGACATCCTCATTTGTTAGAACTTGATCACATGACTCTACTTTGCTACAAGGGAGGCTGGGAAAAATCATCCTTAATTCTAAGTGTCCAGCCAAAAACTGAGGTTCTATTATTGTAGGAGAAGGAGAGACCAGATTTTGGGGGGACAGCTAATACTCTCTGGCACAGTCACAAAATTAGTAAGTGCAGAATAGTTTGGAAGGCAGGACATTTAGCTCAAATCCTGTGTTTGTTTAAATCTAATGAATTGCCCACTCTGAGTATGAGGCCCAGTCCCCAGCCACTCAGAAGCCTTGTTGGAAGATAGTGCTGTATAGTGTTTATGGGCTGTTTATGTGCCAGTCACTGCTACACCCTTTATATCATATAGCATGACCTGTGTGAAGTGCTTAGGGGCCGTCTCTGTCACACTTGTATTGTAGCCCGAGAGCTGAGCCTTGGGCCTGGCACAGAATAGGTGTTCAGTTAATTTTTTCGATGAATGAATGGCTTCACTAGGTAGGTTTTGTTTCTTATATTGGCTCCCTTGATCAAGATGAGAAAATTCAAGGCTCAGGGAGTTTAAATCATTTTGCTCAAAGGAAGAGAGCTAGAAATTGGCAGAGCCTGGATTTGAATCCAATTTTGTCTGGCTTTAGAGCTTACAGTTTTACTCCACCAAGCAGGGGCTCTTAACCTTTGCTGTGCCATGGATCCTTTTGGCAGTCTGGTGAAGTCTGTGGACCCCTTCTTAGGATAACATTCTCAAATGCATAGATAAAAATACACAGGATGACAAAGAAAATCAATTATATTGAAATACTGCCATCAAAATATTAAACAAATTTATGATTTAGCAGTATGCTTCTTTAATAACACATTAAATAACAAGATCAAACAGGAGGTTGAACAGTTACATAATTTT